TCCGCGCCATGGGCCTGAGTTAGTTCAGTAGTCAGGCAATGCCAGGCTGGAAGGATGTGTGCTTGCGCTGTCTCTGTCCTGTCCTTCCAGGTGCTCTGCTACGATCCATCGGTTAATCTGGGGAGGTCAGAAGGAGGAACGTAAGTGTGGCCTCGAAAGATTACCTCAGTCTCCTAGGCAAAAGGGCTGGGTTAATACCCATCTGTTACTCCTCCCACACCTTCTTCTAAACATGCAGTTCAGGTAAGATCAACTGCCACTCTCATGCTCTTTATTACTTAGCTTAAATGTTACCATACTGAAAATGACTACTCCAGTTTTCCAGCCTTTCTTTTGTATTCAAAGAATTATTAAATTTTTTTTAAAAAGTTTATGATTAAAAAATTAATTACAAAAAACCATGGTGATACTGAGTTTAAAAGTAGCTGTTTGCAGCATATACACCTGCTTGAGCATTACTATGGACTACAACCTACGCAGTGAAAATGAAGTATTGGAACATAGCTATCGCCATAATAATGCAGGGGACTATGATTGCATGATAAGGGATGCAGTGGCTCAGTGGACGCTGAGCTTGTCAATCAGAAAGGTTGGCATTTTGGTGGTTCGAATCTCTAGAGCCACATAATGGAGTGAGCTCCAGTTACTTGTCCCAACTTTTGCCAACCTAGCAGTTTGAAACCATGTAAAGATGCAAGTAGAAAAATAGAGACCATTTTGGTGGGAAGGTAACAGTGTTCTGTGCACCTTCGGCATTGAGTCATGCCAGCCACACGACCATGGAGATGTCTTTGGACAGCGCTCACTCCTCGGCTTAGAAACAGAGATGAGCACACACACACACCCGAGTTGGGAACAACTAGCACATATGTGCGAGGGGAACCGTTACCTTATGATTGTATGATCCCAGAGATATAATATTCTGAAGGCCATGGGAATTGTAGAGAAGGAAGTCTTATAGACATCAAGGAGCCCCCTCCCCAATTCAGTTTATTTTTCTTGTGGATCCCATGCTATAGTCTTAAAATTAAAAACTTGGTGATTGTATAAACAGCCTCATCTGCAAGAAGGAAATGGATATTGATGTCATCTGAATGGCTGTGCATGTTTCTAGAATGTTGAAAGCATGTGGGTGTGGATTCACAAAATGGATACCATTGGCTGTTCACAAAAGGACTGACATAATAGGCATGTCCACTCACAAACATCCACATTTCACAAGTGGCATTAGCCCTATCTCCCAAAATGGTCTCCATCATCCACTAAAGCCATTGTGGGGCCCAAAGGCACTCCTGGACATAACTTTGGTACTAGAAGTGGTGTTTTGCTTTACATCATGACAACTCTGTTTAAAGGCCGGGGGGGGGGG